TGTAAATTAAATTCTCAGGTTTTTTAAAAAATGTACTCAGTTATATTAATATTAAGGCATTAACTTTTAGTTAGTATAAAGAAGTGAAGATCTTAGGGCATATGACATTAATTATCAGCATCCATGTATCAATACCGGACCTCTCTGCTCATTTTAAGTATTCTCATAAAGGTAAAAACTTTTTGCGTGCGACAAACTATTCTGATAACAAGACAACTTCTAATGGTGCATGCCAAGGGATGTAAGAAAGTGAAATATCATTTCAAATAACTGGAGCCCTGTAGTAACCAAATTATTAAAGATTTGGAGGGGTCATTTTAATTTTTCGGTTATCCCTAATATGTTTCACTTAGGGCCTTTGTAACTTGATGATGTTTAAGAATTCTGGGACTCAGTAGTTCTGGGGTGAGTTCCCAAAAGTGTTCAGGTTCTACTATGTCGTGAGCTTTCCTGGTCCCAGAGATTCCCCTGCAGCTGATACCACCTTGGCCCCACATGTTCTGTGACGGGGAAGGCTGCCCTCTCCACCTGCACTGCCTTCTCTTGCCATCAGTCGCTCCTCATCCCACGGCAAGCTCACTGCTCCTTCCCCACATCTCAGAAATGCCTCATATATGAAAGTCTAGTCGGAGAAGTTTGAAGATGTTAGGCTGGGGCTGGAGGGTTGGGGAAGTGTGCAAGTGATGGCCGACATGATACATGGCCACCACCTGTGAGCCCACCGTCCCCTCTGCGCTCACACGTGCACACACAGACACACACGCACGCTGGCCCCTTGTGTCTCAAGACAAATAGCTTCATGACCACCATGAGAGAAGGTTAGATGGCAGCATAAAATGAGGAGCAGCCTTGGCTGAGCAGGCAACACTGACCGCCGTGTGTGTAAGTGGAGAATGGCATGGCCAGGAAAGGGACTTGGTGGCTGCCAATCTGGGCTGGGGATCTCCTGGCCGCAGGCCACCCGCCAGCCATTAGTAGGTATTCTCACTGTTTCAGGGGACTTTCCCCTCTGGTGGCTCCACCTCTGTGCCCCGGCCAGGGCTTCTCAAACTCCTCCTACTCAGCCACCCCCAGCACCCAGAATCCTCAACAGCTAATGCTGGAGAGGACAAGGGACAGCCAGGCCCACCCCAGGAACCTGCGATCTTTCTCTACTGTCTCCAGCTTTGTCTTTGAAATGTGCAAAGTTTGTGCTCTACACCATGTTTCCATGCTTGTTTTGATATAAAATAAATGTGTTTTCAGTGTCATGCCTAACTCTCCCTCCCCCTCTTTGTGAGGCCTCAATATAAAATCCAACACTGCACCACGCTTCGTGGTGCTCATCATAACTGTAATGGATCCACGTCGGCCCAGTTGTGTGTTTGCTGTCTTTCCCACCAGACTGGAAGCTCCAGGAAGTCAGCAGCCATGCCAGTCTGGGTCCCTTCTGCATTCTCAGCGCCTTGCCAGTGCCTGTCCCCAGAGGTGGCTTTTACTTTCGTGGTTAGAGCTCTCTTATAAGAAGGCTGACATGGAGATTCCAGGCCTCACGCAGGTCATGTGACCGCACCTCCTTTCACTTGTGGGCCACGGCCTCACAAAGGGGTTATTGTTCATAAAGGGTCCAGGTGAGAGGGGCAATCCATCATTGCTGGAGGCTCAGCCCTATCACCACTCCTGGCACCCTCCCAGTCACAGGGAGACAATGACATCACCTCTGACTGTATACAAAGGACACCCTATTCTTTAACCCTCTCTGTGGAGAATTACTCTTTTAGTTCATTTTTGCAGTGTTAGGTGCATAATGTCATAACTCAGAGTTTTTCCCAGATGCAGTGCAAGGGCATAGATGATTTGGTAGGTATTTGATTTCTAGAAGTTTTCTCAAGTCAGAGACGAAATTGAAGCATGTTTTGCTGAGGGTAGGAAAACAACTCAATTTGGAAGAAAAGCTGATTTCTCAGGTAAGTAATTGTAAGTTAAATCAAACTCCCTCACCTTTGCATCTGGTTTTCTCACCTCCTACGCAGATTTTCAGTGACAAGCCTCATTCTTATCATTTTTAATATCCACAGAGCACTACTCAGAAGATTTATTGGTTTAAAAAATGCCAATTCCTCAAAACAGCCAAGTCCTGTTTCCAAGTTTCGTGTAAAGATTGTGCTTAAACAAACTACAGTCAGAGCATTTGAGGACAATGTTTAAGGAAAGAAGTGGAATAGTTTTTATCATAATTGCTTGCATGTATTGTGTGTTTATAATGCGTCAGGTATTAGGCTGAGTTCTTTGCATGAATTAGCGCATTTAATCCTCACAGCCAACATTTGAGATGGGGAAAATATTATTCCCATTTCATAGATGAGTAAACTGACACTTGCTCAAGAACATGTGTCTCGTGGAGGACACAGCCAGAGCTTTGATGCTGATTTACATCATTCTGTAGTCCAGGCTCTTACAAATGGCTAATAAGCAATGGATATTTGTGTTTGAGAATGAAATAAACTTCCCTCACTCCAAGCTCAAGTGCCATTAACTTATATTGCTCAATTCAGGGCCTAACAGACTTGTTTTAATCAACAAACTCATAAAGATCTTTTGTAAATGGCTCATTTGTTGACTCGTTTTTTTAGGTGATTAAAAAGGTGTTGTTCTCTTAGAAATGTTAAGTGTTTTCTCTTCCCATCCAACCCATTAGAATCTGCTATGGTCTGAATGTTTGTGTTCCCTGCAAATTCCTATGTTGAAATCCTAACCCCCAAGCTGAGGGTAGGAAGACAAGGGGGGGGGCGTTGGGAGGCAATTAAGCTATGAGGGCAGAGCCCTCGGGAGTGGGATTAGTGCCCTTACAAGACTAAAGAGTTTCCTTACCCCTTCTGCCAACTAACCAGGAAGAGGGCCCTCACCAGACACCATGCAGACGCCTTGATTTTGGACTTCCCAGTTTCCGCAACTGTTAAGAAATAAATTTCTGTTGTTTATAAACCACCCAATCTATGGTATTTTGTTGTAGCAGATGGACTAAGAATCCAAGACATAAAATTTTCATATGTGAGTTTGGCCCATTTCGAAATTCTGGGAAGACCCAAACCTCTGTTTGACCAGGCCTCAGACAAACAGTTCTGACTAGCGGTGCTCTTTTGAACGGTGTGCCGACATTCCCAATCCTGTTCTAGTTTTTTCTCTGATAGTGGCAGGACTGGAGTTTCTTTCAGTCCCTTGAATGGGTTGGAGGTTTGTGGCTGTTTCATGCCGCATTTGTGGAGTTCTCGCTGAGGGCCTGTCTCAGAACAGATACTCACTCAGGACAACCCTTGCCCTGCAGCCCAGCCTGGTCTGCAGTCATCTCCACTTTGAAAAGCATTTTAATTCCCTTCGGTTCAGCGTAAGAAGAATGGATTGTGCACTGTCCAATTGGACTATCTAGCCCAGGGGTCCTCAAACTGGCCCGAGGGCCACATGCAGCCAACCAAGGACATTTATCCAGCCCACCAGGTGTTTTTGCCGCCGCTGCCTGTCCTGCTTAGCAGCTGACTCGTCCCGGGCCCACAGTGCGCATGTGTGGAATGTGCACCACACTCTCCAACGGCCCTCCAACAGTCTGAGGGACAGTGAACTGGCCTCCTGTTTGGGGACCCCTGTTTGGGGACCTCCCCCTCCTGTTTGGGGACCCCTGATAGCCAATGCCTTACTCCAAGTTGGGTGGGACGATATACAAATACTATTAATAGCTGATGTTAATTGGCTGCTTCTGGCCAGGCACTGTGCTGGGTGTTCCGCATGAATTGTCTTATTTCATTCTCACAGTTGCTCTTTTAGTCCCATTTTTCAAAGGAGGAAACCAAGGCTCCGAGTGGACTCCCCAGTGCCATAGCTAGCAGACTGAGATCTGGGGTGATAGCAGGCCTGACTGATGTCATGCTTTGAGCTTTTTATGCCTATTCCTTAGTGTCCTTCCAGTGAGTGCCAGGAAGTCTGGAGATAAGGCCTCGAGTAGTCCAGGAAGTTTCCGTGGAGAAAGTGGAAGTTGAGCTGGACATTGAGGATTGTATTGGAAAGATGAGGATTGCACTGGGGGGAGCTAGGACAGAAAACAAGCAGCGTGGGCTCCCTTGCTTTTGTCTCCATAGAGCAGCAGAAAGGGGGAATTAGACCATTTTGTGGTTGGTGTTGCCAATTAATTTTAAATTCAACACCTGCCTTGCCGTTGAGCTTAATCTTATTATAGCAGATCTCTTCGCATTTCTTTTGTTTGTGCAGATTTTACCGGCAGGGGTTTTAAGTCAATCAGAGAGAGTCTGAGCTGAAAGAAATTATTTTTGTGTGCATTAAAATAATTGGCCTAATTCTCTGAACTAACAAGTAAAACCTACCTAATTCCTGTCTTAAAGGTAAAGACTAATGCAGTATGGGAAGAAAAGCATTCACCTAACCACCTCTCTTTTATTTCGAGGATGTGGTATAGTGTTCAGGAAAATGAATTTATACTGTTTGGAAGAGCAGCTGAGATCAGCATAGCTAGCTTGAACTTAGCATAGAGACAGTGCCCTTGACTCGTGGCTTAATGCACATAAGTGTGGAAAGTATTTTAATAATGCAGAAATAACAGTCTGAGAAACAAATTTGAACTTAATTATTCCACACCTGACATCGGGATATGCCAGTATCTTCTTTTATTCCTCTTGTACCATCTCACTATGAAAGTACCTCTTATAAAATATTATTTCTGAACTATCTGGATTTTGTTTCTAAGTCATTTAGTTTTACCCAGATTGTTGAATCTGTGCCCTTGTCTTTAAATCATTTACCTTTTTCACGGTTTCAATTCTCTTGTCTTTTTTGCAGAAAGTGATTTTTCTAAAGAAATATTTCAATCCACGAAAGGGGAAAATTAGTTCACTTTTCTTTAGCATCTTCAAAAGAACTTTTTCTATTTCAGAGAAAGCTGAAATCAAGTGACTTTCTCCTCTGTGCATCTGGGCAACCCAGCCTCTCTGTCTCTTTATAGAAATAGGCATCACTGGTGGCGGTCATGTAGATTGGGTGGGGCCAGGCCAACCTTCAGCGCCAGCAGATAGCCCTGATTGGTCCAGGCCACATTGGGTAATCTGACCTTCATGGTCACAGGGTTTGCTTCCACGCAAAGCTTTGAGCTGCTGTTGGTTGCTCATGGGAAACGTACTTGCGCATGCGCCTGACTGCAGCCTGTCCTGCAATCGCCAGGAAATCAGCCCTAGGAGCAAACAACATTTGCATAAAAGGGAAGAAAGGTAGAAAGAAATTGAGTCCTCACATCATTGTAGCAATCAGTGTAGCCCACTGTACCTCTGGACTCCCAGTTAGCCAATAAATCCCCTTCGTGTTTATGAGTTTCAGTTGGGCATTCTGTTACTTCCCGCCCAGAGCATTTTATCTGATACACCCAACTCTTGGGCAGTTGAGCTCACCACACAATACCACTCCTCAAAATATTTCACCCAGCCGTCATCTGTGGTCGGTCTAACCACAGAGTGGTAAGTAATTCCATAGCCTCCATTGATGGCATATTAGCTACGGCCGACTAGGCCGCTGCCACCCTAGAAACTTACTTGTAACTCATCCCTTAGGCTGAAACAAGTGATCCCGATCAGCAGCTGGCTCTCTGCCACGTGGTTCCACTGGTTTTCCAGACACTCAGGCTTTTTCCACCTTTTGGCTCCCCCACCCGCTGGGGCCTTGTTACCACCCTCATTATTAAGCTGCAGACAGGGAAGGAGGAGGAAGGGGCAGGCCCGATTCTTAAAAACTTTGGCCCAGAAATGCTACAAACCATAACCCCTCTCCCTTGGCTAAAAACATAGTCACAGGGCCACATCTAACTGCAAAGGAGTCCAGGAAGAAACAGTGGATTTTCGGTAACCGTTTCTAGTTCACAGCCTTAGCTACAAATAGGATGCTTTAGAAGATTATTCAGTTACATGGGAAAATACCAGCAGAGCAGCCAGCATGCAGTACCCGCGCAAGCTTTCTAAAGGCCCGTGTCTCTGAGTGCACGAGCTCTTCCTGTTTCTGTTTCTGCCCTGGGCTAGCCCTGTGTTCTCTTCTTCTCCAGCCTTGTTTACCTTCTGGCACATCCCTGATGTTCCCAGCAAGCAAATGCACTCCACCGTGCGCTGGAGAGCGATAAAGATTTTACTGAAGCTCTGGTGTGATTACAGAAATGTAATCAAATGCTTCCGCAGACATCTGTTCTTTCTTCCAAAACTCTCTTCCTTGGCCAGCAGCCTCCCCTCACCTGTTACTCTTCTCGGGCTGAGCACTTCCTTCCCAACATCAACAGCCCTAAAATTCTCATCACTGGAGCAATTTGTGCTTTTTCTGCTTTGTTTTATGCCTGCTCAGCAAAACAAAAGCCTGGTAGTAAACCAAAAAAACCAATGATATGTTTTTTTTTTTCCTGTAGCATAGCCCTCAGGGAACTTAGCAAATAATTCACTGTACAAAAAAGTTCCCTTCTGGAGGCAGGGTTGGGTGAGGACTTGTTACTAAGAAAATTAATTTTTTACCATAAAAATTGAATTACCTGGGAAAAAAGACTGGGAAGGATGGCCCAAAACGTTAACAGTATTTCTCTCTAGGTAATTGAATTAAAGGTTGTTTTTTATTCTTCTGGTATGTTCCTATACTTTCCTTTCATTTTTATTTCTGTATTTTCCAAATGTTCTATAGTATATGATGTATTTCTTTAATAATCTAAAAAAAAGCAAAGAAATTGATCTTTTGTTCAACATCACTAATCATTAGGGAAATGCATTGCAAAATCACAATGAGAAACCACTCACATCCGTTATGATTATTCAAAAAAACAAGAAGAAGAAAAAATAAAAGAAACTGATAAGAGTTGGTGAGGAAGTGAAGAAATTAGAACGCTTGTGCAGTCCTGGTGGGACCGTAAAAGTATAGCTGCCGTGGCAAATGGTATGGGAATTCCTCAAAAAATTAACCATAGAATTACTACATAATCCAGCAATTCCACTTCTGGGTATATACCCAAAAGAATCGAAAGCAGGACTTTGAATAGATATTTGTATATCCGTAGTAGCATTATTCGCAATAGCCAAAAGGTAGAAGCAACCCAGTATCTGTTGACAGATGAATGGATAAACAAAATGAAGTATACACTTACAATGGAATATTATTCAGTCTTTAAAAGGAAGGAAATTATATCACATGCTACAACATGATTAACCTGGAGGACATTATGCTAGGCGAAATAAGCCGGTCACGAAAGGGCAAATACTGTATGATTCAAATTACATGAGATACTTAAAGTTGTCAAAGTCATAGAAACAGGAAGTAGAATGGTGGTTGCTAGGAACTGGGTGGGAGGGGTGGGAATGGGAAGTTAGTGTTTAATGGATACAGAGTTTCGGTTGAGAAAGATGAGAAAGTTCTGGAGATGGATGGTAATGATGGTTGCACAACAATGTTAATGTACTTAATGCCACAGAATTGTACACTTAAAAATTGTTAAAATGTTAAATTTTATGTTATGTATATTTTACCCCAATTTTTTTTTTTAAAAAAGAAATTTATCTTTTGATAGGCAATTTTACCAGAGTTTTTGACTTGGTTGGCTTGTGATCTCTTGAAAACCAAATATTCCCCTAGTTTGAGCTTTGCACTTACACAATATTTCTTTTTAAATGAATTTGTGAATCATATAAGGAAAAATGATTATTACATCTGTATTTACACAAGTCTCAAGGGAATTAATAAAATGTGGGTCTTTTTCTCCAATGATTTGCTATCTAATAAGTGAGAAAGGCACGCAATTAACTGTCATCTACAATGAAATCAAATAGCAGGCCAAGGGTGGAGCTGCAAGCGGTGAAGTTTGCCTGGGGTTTTTGGGAAATTCCCAGAGAAGAGAGATTTAAACTAGACCTTGAAGAACACTCAGGAGTTCACTGCTGGAGAAGAGGGGTGAGTGTGGGGGCACGTTAGGAAGCGAGATAAAGAGAGATGGAGGGACAGCTCTGGGACATCCCAAACCCAATCGACTCATGCGTCCCCTCCCCTGAGACCGCTGACCAGGCACAGGGCATCATGGGACTGTGAGCAGGGCGGGCTGCACGCTGGCCTTGACGTGGCAATGTTATCTCTACTGGGGAGAGGACCCAAGGATGGGGCTGAACTCAGAAAGCAAAGTCAAAGCCAGCCAGAACTGGGACCTTGGCTGTCTCCAAGGTGTGATTCTAGAGAAATACGGAGCACGATGGGGCTGCCTGTGAAAACAGGGAAATGGCCACTTGCGTGTTGGTGCCTGATCCTGTGCAGCTGTTGATTTTGCAGTCTGACAGTGAAAAGAATGGAAGCCTTTTTTTAATTATTATTCTTAAATCCAAAAGCTTGTGTGACGTTTCTTGTCATATCTTGGACTTAGCCAATCTGCAACACATGTCTTCCTCCAATAACCCGCATGTATGGACTTATCGCTAGGTGGTGGCATTCAGATGGGGCACAACTGTACAACCGTTGCCTTGGCCCAGGTAGAGAACAGAGCGTGCTTTGTGAACTGGAGATCCGTGGGTGCTGCGTCAGTCACCCTGCGTAGTGATCAGCTTGAGAGAGGGACACAGAGGCCATGTGGAATTATATATCTTGGACCCAGCAGACTCATTCTGCAGTCAGTGTGGGTCATTCTTGCCCTGTGGCTGTTTCTGCTTTTTGAAGCCTCTGTCATGTGCTGGTCCTTGCCTCTTTGGGGCACTTCTGCTCCAGGTAACCACACAGATGCCCCTTTGAGAGTCTTCTGCACATTCTCGGGCTCCCTAAGAGGACCCTAACCCTACTCCCAGAGCCATAACAATGTCTAGAGTCCGTGAGCATTCACAGCCATCCCTCATCGGGCCATGGCTGGGTCACAGAGTATAGGGGACAGGCCCCGGGAAGAATTCTGCAAACCCACCCCTTCTTGTTTTCCAAGTTCCCAGGATCTAGCCACCTCCTGGGGTCAGGCCCTGACAAGCTCTTATTCATGAAGAACAAAAACTTCTACCCTCTTCCCTGCTTGGAAGCCTCCTTATTTCCCCAGGTGGGCCTGATTCATTAAGAGCTGGGAATTCCCTGCCTGGGGTCAAGGCACCCAGGTCTGGGAACACAAAGACCTGGCTGCGTTCCCTGGAAAGGAAAGAGGAAAATTATCTTTCCATTGTTTTTGCTTATAGGTCAGAGTAGCCAAAAAGATAAAGTATAATTAATGTCTCAATATCTCACCTTGTTGCACATTGATGGTCTCACTGGCTGATGCCGGGAGACAAGGTCCCTGGCCTCGTTTATCTGACACCGTGATGTCAGGTGGAGCCTTTCCATCTGCTCATGACTCCTCTTGGCTCCCTAGAATGTAACTCTGGGACACCTTGGGCTGGATCGTTGACCACTGCTTAATTTCCTTGAATTCACATGCAAGGCTGCTCCTAATGGCAGTTCCACATCATCCCACCTGTTTCTTACTCCTTATTCTCCTGAGTCCCCAGGCATGAAGTCCCAAAGAGTCTGATCTGACTTTAGAGTAGGTCTCACTGGTGTGGCAGGACCTAGCCCTGCCATAGCAATGCCTGAGGGCCAGAAATCTGAGGCAGGACCACTTCTTACTTTCATACGATTCTCAAACTAGTTTTGAACTGGGAATCCCGCCTGTCAGACCCAGAGGAGCGCTGCCATTTGTGAACAAGCCAGCTGTCCCCGGGGCCCCCGGTCAAGAAACCCCAGGATCTGATGGCCTGGTCTGGCCTTAGCTACAGAGACAAGGCTCCTTTTTTCCTGTGCTTTGGAATGATTAAGTGGCTCACCAGAGGCAGTTTTCTCTGTTCACTAAACGGAGGTCTTTTTGGTTGCCTTTTTCCAACGTATTCTTTAAGGAGGCTTCCAGAATCCTGCTAGATTCTGTGTATTCTATTTTCCATCTTGACAGTATTCCTAGTGAAGCTGAAGCCAACCTTCTCTCTGATGTCCACACTCAGGCATTAGCCCCTGGCCCATGTTCTCAACATTACAGATTTTCTTTTTTCTTTTTCTTGAGACAGAGTCTCACTCTGTTGCCCAGGCTAGAGTGCGTGGCATCAGCCTAGCTCACAG